GAGGATTTAGGATGCTGGGGGGGCCAGTGTTCCTAACTGGAGGGTGTCCCCTTCTGAGAATGGGGCACTCACAGGCCAGTAGTGCTGGGTTCCACCCACAGGTCTACATGTGCGCCTGGCGTAGGTACAGGTGTGTGCAGGTGTGCGTGTGCAGGCTGTGAGCAAGTACAGGTGGGGTGTTTTGTGTGTGTGTGTGTGTGCGCGCGCGCGTGCACGCACGTGCTTGTGGGGGCCCTTCTGTAAGGCAGTTCTGTCTGGTGTGACTGCACATGGTGCATTGTGGGGAGCTGTGAGTTGTTGTGGTTGTGTGTGTCTGTTGTCCCGTGGGTCTCTGTACGAGCTGTCCTTGGAGGGAGTATGTGAGCCAGGTGTAGGCAGTGTGTATGTGCTCATGTGTCCCTGTGTGGGTGTTGTTGGGACTGTGTTTCTGGATGTCCACGCCAGACCCAACGTCATTTCTCACCTGGACCACCTTGTGACCCAGGGCCTTGATGTCCTGTCCCCCTCCCAGCCTCATTTTCTCACTGGGATGACCAGGACTCCTGCCAGGTGTCACCAACCGGCATTCAAGAAAGACTTAGCGCCAGGCTTGGTCTTCAGAACTGCTGCTGGCTTACCTCAGGGATGTGCACCCACTGACTTCAGTCTCCAAGGGTGGCTTCTAACCAGCCTGCTGAGAACTGTGAAGTCCACTCACTTATTTGTAAAAGTGTGTCATTTTCTCATTATGCGAGCAATTTGGAAACATAGGAACAGATACAAAGTATCTATAGCAAAACTCTTCCATGCCATCAACTTCACCCTGGGGAGACCTCACCCCAGGGGAGACCCCACCTCAGGGGGACCTCACCCTAAGGGAAATCCCACCCCAGGGAACCCCACCCCAAGGACCCTATGCTCGTTCATACATTTCCCTGGATGGACAGTTTCTTCCCTTGTGATTAACTGCCTCTGAGAACCCGCTGGAGGGTCATCTATGGGTCAGTTCTGACTCCTTGGTGAAAGGCAACAGCAACATAACTGGTACACAGTATTCTTATGAAGGATATATGTGTATTCTTATAAAGGATACATCAGCATTCTTAGAATGTGGGAATATTCTTATACAAGATACACGAAGTACTAGTATAAACCAAACCCACCTGCAGTCAGCTGTAACTCACAGGGACCCTTTCTTTGTAGGCTGCTGAGGCTGTGTTTATCTGTGAGAGAAGATGCCCATTTTTCCCTTGCAGGGGCTGGTGGATTCCAACTGCCAACCTTTCCATTAGTAGCCTAATTATGTACATATTCTCACAAAGGATAAATGGATAATCATATGAAGGATACGAGTGTGGGGTTTTTTTATTAATTTTAATGGAAGTTTACAGAGACTTAGGGTTTCCAGTCATTCATTGTTGCACTTTTCTCCCTGCCCACCCTCTCCCCCCCCCATTCTTATAAGCAGCTGCCACCTAATTGGTTACCACTCAGAAAACACCCTGCCCTCCCCCGCCCCAGGCCTCTGAGACTGAAAATCTGTGGAAGGAGGTCACCCATCCTTTGTCCACAGAGCAGCTGGTGGTTTCGAACCTACCACCAGTCTTAGGTTAGAAGCCTGCCACACCTCTAGAACTCCCTTCCTTACAAAGATACCTATTTGTTGGTAAAAGTATTCTAATGTGGCCCTGGTTTGTAATGGTGGGTCTCTTAACAGCACTACCCACCTCAGGTGCTTTCCGCTCCAGGGGACACATCTGATGATCTCTGAAGATGTTTGTTAGCATCCCTGGTGGTGCAGTGCCTAGAGTCCTTGGTTGCACACCATAAGCTTGGCGACTGGGACCCAATGGCAACAGCCTGCTTCTGAAAAGGTTACAGCCTGCACTCTCACAGGGTGGGTCGCTGTCTCCTGGAGCCTCCTGCCGCTGCCCAGGTCCGTATCAATTCTTGGTTTGTTTGCTTGGTTTTGGATGTCTCAACTCTCAACTGAGTACCCCTCCCCAGAGCAGGAGCCAGCCCCCTGCTGAGGCTGGGGAACCCTGTGTAGTGTGTCGCCCCAGATGTCCTTGGGAACACTTCCAGAAGGCAGCAAGTTCTTCACCCAGCTGGGAGGAATTCTGGGCCAGTCCAGTCCTGGGGGGGGGGGGGCTGGTTTCACAGTTTGGGTTTCTCACCCCCTTGTCTGGGAAAGGTGAGAGTGAGTCCCAGGGAGTGTGCATGTCGTCTTTGGGGGACAGGTGCCCTGAAACATGCAAGTCCCATCTCATGTATTGTGTGTGTTTGAGTACCCACCGTGTTCTGACCACCGTCCCAGCATTGACGTGCTTTGCCCTCACAACAACCCACGGGGACAGGAATGACTGTCACTTCCATCTGACAGAGGACAACAAAGCTGAGAGAGATTAAGCCACCAGCTTGAGGAGCTGCAGACCCAGCCTGTAACTGTGGGTCACAGCTGGCCTGCTGGGACCAGTGCCTGGGATTTGCAGGGGATGATTCCTCCCATTGGACTTGAGGTACATGCTGTTTGTGGTTTTGTGGAAGGTTCACACAGCTCCCCCCAAAATAACATGAACGTACCCTTAAAGTGAGTTATCTCAGGGGCTCCAACCTCGGCTTTCCAAGGGATGTCCTATCATTGGCATTTTACAGATGAGGAAACTGAGGTTCCGAGTGGACCCCTAGTGAGAAATGGACTTGATTTGCCCTCTACTGTAGAGGTTGTGGTCAGCAGAGAAGGGGGTCAGTTCCTGGAGCATTGCAGATTGAGTCCTTGGACTTGAACTTTTGAATGTCTACAGGCAGGATTCTACCTTACAGGTGTTGACGGAATTTTTAACAATAAAATATTGCTTTGTGTTAAACTGCCATGTGGATTACACACACACACACACACACACACACACACACACACACACGTTGCGGCGAGTGTGACCACATGCATCAGGATGGAGCTGTGCTTCTTGGCTTTGTCCTGCTGGCTTTTCCAGTGTGGATGACCAGGCCTTTCTCCCGAGGCACCTCTGGGTGCCTTTTGAATAGCAGCTTAACTAAGCTTGTTCCACCCAGGGTCCTGGATGGCAGCTCGGCGTCACTCCAACCTTGACCTTGCAGGAAGAAGCAGGCAGGGTTCAAGGCCCTCTGTCATCTTGCAGAAGTAGACTATCTCACCTCCTGCTCATGGAGCAGCTGGGGGGCTGCCCTGGTCTTTTTGGCTAGCAGTGGGATGCCTTGAGCACAGCATCACGAGGGCTCCTTCCAAGGCGAGGCGGGGTTCCCACACCTCGCTGCTGCTGGAAGGCCTGTTCAAAGGGCTGGGCTGTTTGCACCCAGTGGGGTCCTTCTTACATGCAGATGCCGGGCCCAGGCCCTGGTGGCTTCTGTCCTCTGAAGTCCCTGATCCCTCCGGACAAGGAGCAGGATAGCTAGGCCGCTGGCATCTCCTGTGCGGTGGCTCAGGGCTCCTGTCAGGCTCAGGTTGAGGGCACCAGGTTAGAGGACCCAGTGCAGAGAGGGCGACCCAGCCAGGCGAGCAGACCCGCTCACCCTCCCCGTGGGCACAGCCTGCCTCCTCTGTGTCCCCAGGAGTGCTGCATGAGTTTGAACCACCAACCTTCTGGTGAGCAGCCTGCACTTAACCCATCAGGGCTCTGCAAATTGGAGAGGGGGTGTCTTTGGCCTCCGGGCTTTCGGAGGAAGATCCCAAGTGGCCCTTTGATCAGCCATTGATGTTCTCTTCAGACTGGACACCCAAGGCCAGTCATACAGCAGACGGCCCATTCCACAGCGGAGAAAACAGAGGCCCCCACCTCGGCAGCCCCACATGGATGGCGGGATTGGGGAGGAGCAGAGAGGGCCAGGGTGGCCTGGTATTCTGGAGGCTTGGGGGGGCGGGGTGTCAAGCACAGTCTGTTAGTCTAGGGAATAACAGAGCTCTGAGGAATTGGGCTCTGGGACTAATGATCAGGGCCGGCCACTCCCAGGGCCCCGGCTGTGGAGCGGGCGCAGAGCGAGGGGCAAAGGGAGGGGAGCTGGGAAGAGGCCCCTTCCTCCTGGTGGGGGTTACGGAGGAGAAGGCACCCGGAGTCCCCTTTGGCACCAAAGAGGAGGATCTATCCCAGTCCTGGTGGCACAGCGGGTAGGCGCCGGGCTGCCAGCCCAAAGCTTGGCGGTTTGAACCCTCCAGCGGCCTGGCGAACCTGGAGGTAGATGACAGCTTCTGTGGCACATGTGCTTGGGGTCCGCCCCACCGTATCTAACGGCTTAGGGACCCTCTGGCAGCAGGCGGGTCTGGAGCCAGGCTCTCCGCAGCCCGGGGGCTCCCTCCGCAGGTTGAGCGGCTCGGCACTGGGGCGCTGGGGCGCGTGGTACCCGCTCGTACATCTTTAAGGGAAAGCCGCGCCAGGCCGGCCTCTGCGCACGTCACTTCTTCATTCTTTCCCTTCTCCCGCCGCCCCCCCCTTGGCTCGCGTTTCCAACTTCCCGGCCAGCGTGGGGTGCAAGGGGGGCGCCTTGAAAGCCCCATCTGGACCCCAAATATCCAGCCTAAACCTAGATCCACCGCTCGCCAGCCGCTAGCCGGGGGGCGAGCCCGGAGACCCGCCGCGCGCCAGTGTCCAGGACGCATTTCCCCGTCGCTTGGACGGGCGCTGGCCCCTCTCCATAACGGCGATGATGGGGGTTCGGGAGTCCTGGGGGGAGGCGGCGCGGGAGGGGCCAGGCAGCGGCTGGCTGCGCGCGCTCTTTTTTCCCTCGTTTCTTTGAAAGTTGGATGCGGAGAAGTGGGAGGTTCGGAGGCCGGGGTGGGAGGGGAGAGAAATTGGGGAGAGGGAGGGGGAGGTTGCAGAGGGAGGAGAGACAGAGACCCAGGGACGAGAAGGAGAGAGGGAGGGAGGGAGGGAGGGAGGGAGGAGGGAGAGGCGGTGCAGGGAGGGGGGAGGGGGAGGAGAGGCCGAGGGAGGAGGCGGCGAGGAGCGCGCCGGCCGCCGAGGGGGGGGTTGGAAAAATGACTCAGTAAGTTCCGCGCGTCCGCTCCGGCCGGCCCTGCGCCTCCGCCGCGCCCCCGGGATGTACTCGTCCCCGCTCTGCCTGACCCAGGTACGCCCCCGGCCCGGCCTGCGCCCCGGCCCCGCGCCCCTGGCACCCCAGAGCTGGGCAGCCGGAGGAGGCGGGACGAAAAAGGCGCGCGTCCCTCCCGCCGGCCGCCCCTCCACAGCTCGGGGTCCGGTCCCCGTAGGGACCCCCACCCACCTGCCCTGCGACGCTCCGGGCCTCCGCGTGTCCCCTGGCCCGGATCAGGCTGCGGGCACCCTCCCGCATCTCAGGACGCGCCCCCTACCCGGAAGGTCTGGGGCGTCCCCCCCCAAGCCAGGGCACAGCACTGCGGGTACCCGCCCCGCCTGCTCAGGGCCGCCCTTACGGGGAGTTCCGGGCTGCCTGCTGCACCCCCGGGCCTCTTGAGAAGTAGACCCCTCTGCCGTTCTCGCGTCCCCCCAAGCTTGTGCCCGCCACCCCGGCCTCGGCGGCCTTTCCTGGGCCCACGTGTGCGTGGAGGGGGAGGGGGCGCGCCAAGTTGGAGGAGCCCCGAGCGGGGGAGGGGTGCTCCGACGACCGAGTTCGGTCTCCCCCCACCCGTACCCCACCGTCCCGGTATTTTCGCCGCATCGATTCGGGAATATTGAGCGGCCACCGAGGTCAGGAGGAGCCGGAGCCAGGGGCGCCGGGGCTGGCGGGGCCGCTGCGGTGCTGCGGTGGCCCTCGCCAGTGGGCACCTGCCCCAGCCCCCTCCCGGCCTCTCACCGCTGGCCCCACTGCCCAACTGCTCCTCGTGCAAAGGCCAGGGGGCTGTGGGGAGGGTGCTGTGCCCCTGTACGCCCCCCCACCAGCTCCCTCTGGGACCTTCAGCTTGTACTTCCCACCCCCCTTTTGCTGCTACGGTTCCAGCCTCAGTTTCCCCAAATGACAGGGCAAAAGACCTGTTTTGGGGACAGGAACAGTGGGCATCTAAACTTCAGTCAACCCAGAGGAGCACTGTGTTAGGAGAACTGTGGTTTGCCAGCTCCTGTCCCTGCCTGGGGTCCCCTCATTCATACCCTGGGGTCCCCCATCCAAAGAGCATTCCTCCCAGTGGGCCCTGAGGCTAGTGCTGGGCGCCCCGCCCACCTAATACAAGGAGGGGGCTCCTGCCCAATCCCTGATCTGACCTCCCCTGATCCTCTAGTGACCTTGGCCTGGTCCCTGCCCCACTGTGAGCCTCAGTTTCCCCTCTTGGCATCTGTGAAGGTTCCCAGTCTACCTCCAACCCCCAGCCCCCCCCCCCAGGCCCTCCAGAGCACACAGCATTTGGTCTAGGGGTGCTGTGTGGTCTCACTTGAACAGCCTGGCCGTCTGTGGCTTCGTGGATGGCAGGGTGGGACAGGGTGGCCCAGGTGGGCTCCGTGCCTCTTATTCCCGCTGGCTGGGAGAGCGTGGAGGGGCTGCGCGCCAGTGCGGGAGCGGGAGCGAGGGGAGGCGATTCCAGGCGGGAGCTTGGAAGGCGGCCTGTTGTCACCGAGCCTGGAATTCCCCGTCAGCTCCTCAGACGGGCTCCGTCCACAGTGCCCAAGGGGGAGGTGAAGGCCAGGGTCGCCCGCCCCAGGCCACTGGCTGCAGCCCCGGCCTCTATTTCTCCAGATGGAAAGCTTGTCACTGAGGGGTTCAGAGGGACCGTCATGCTGCAGTGTGCAGGAGAAGGCACCCCAAGGGGCAGGCTCAGCCTGGGCTGGGCGCTTCCAGCCCTCTCCCCATGTCCTTTGTCCAGACCCTGAAGCAGAAGCTTTGAGGCCCATCTGGGCTTGAGTCTCCTCCTTGAGACCCAGAGGCCTCTGAGCCCCAGAGGTGGGACCCCCACTCTCAGGCTGTCCACCTCAGTTTCCCTCATCACCCTCACATTCTCCGGTGTCCTTCAGCCTGGGCCTCTCTCTGGCTCTGTGCCTCCTCTCTGACTCTTCCTTTCTCTCCATCTCTCCCTGTCTCGCTCTACCTGGTTCTCCTGTCTCTGTCTCTCTGGGTCTCTCTCTCTCTCTCTCTCTCTCTCTCTCTCTCTCTCTCTCTCCTTCTCCTTCTCCTCTCTGCCTCTTTCTGGGTCTCTATTTCTCTTTCTGTCTCTCCATCTGTATTGTCTCTGTGTCTCTTAGTCTCTCTCTCATCTCTATGTCTCTTTCCCTGACTTTCCATCTCTGTTCCCTCCTCTCTGTCTCTCTATTTCCACCTCTACACCCTCCTGGTTCTCACCTTCTCTTTCCCTCCTCTCTGTCCTGTCCCTCCCTCTCTCCCTCTCTCCCAGGGGCTCTTTGCCTGTCCCTCTCCATCTCTCCCTTCTCTGTCTTTTCTTGTCTGTCTTTCCACCTCTCCACCTCTTTGCTGTCTCCCTATCTGTGGGGCTCCCTGCTTCCCTCTCTGTCTCTGTGTCTTAGTCTCTCTCTGTCTCTGTGTCTCTCTCTGTCTCTGTGTGTCTCTCTGTCTCCATGCCTTTCCATCTCTGCACCTCCCCATCCGTCCACCCTCCCTCCCTCCTGTCTCCCCATCTCCCCCCTTCCCCCAGCTAATTTTACAACCTGAGCCCAACCGAAAATAGCTCCCTTTTAGCTGATCCGACCCGGATCCATGGCGGGCGGTGGGGGGCGGGGGCTGGTGCCGGGTGCCAGCCCGCCCTGTGCCACCGGCCTGCCCGCTGCGCCCGGAGGATCCTGGGAGCCCCGTGCCCAGCGCGGTGACTCAAGCGCTTTTTCACTTTTACTCTTAAGAGGAACCGAGTGGAGTGGCTGCCGCTTCCATAAATCCTGCCTGCCGGACGGCCTCCTCCGCCTCCCCTCCTCCCTCCCGCCACGTTTCTTATTCCGGGTTTGGGGCCAAATCCCTCTTGGCCACAGCACGAGGATTCCCTGGCTGGGCCTGGGCGGAGGCCATGCAGCGCCGGCCCCCTTCATTCATTCTCTCCTTCATTCCTTCAGTCTCCCTCCTTCCAGGTGGCGCCTCTTCTACAGCTGCTTCTGGGGAAACTGAGGCTGGGAGAGTGCCACTGGCTGAATGGTACAGCTTGTATTAAGCTGGGCCTGGGGGCGGGGAGGACAAGGCAGTGATATCCGAGCCTGCTGTGGGTTCCAGGGGGCCTGGGGGCTTGCCTGGTGTCAGGGGTCCCCGCAAGTCAAGGCTGGGAGATGGGCCAAGGTCTGAGGGGCTCAGCTAGAGCCTTCCAGGAGTGGCAGGCGCAGCTGGTGGGACTGGGGCCTGATCTGGTCTGGGCAGGGGACACTCCCTGACCCCCACCCAAGGGTGGGGGGCTCTGAGCAGCCCCTCTGGCTTCATCCTCACCTATGTCTCTCCCTCTGTCTCTCAAGACCTCTGAGTGTCTCGCTCCCACCCCTCTCTGCAGCATGGTGTCTCAGTGAGCTGGTCTGGGCACCCCGTAAATCACAAAGCTTCACAAAGCTGGGATTCGGCGAGTCAGCATCCTCCGTCCTCCTGTCCTCCTCGCTAGCTCTCTCTGCCCCCGCTGCCGCCCACCCCCCTGTCTCATACCAAATGGATGGGAAACGAGGTGTGTTGGCCAAGGGCCCCGGCCTTCACAACCCCGAATGTCCCTGTGTCCCCTCTGTGTCTGCCTGTGTGCGGAGGGGTTTCACTCCACAGTCACGCAGCGCACATCTGCATCCACGTGCACATGCGTGCTGGACACCACACAGATGTGCACGCATACCCGTCCCGGGCCTGGAAGCCACAGCCCTCCCCACTCCGGACTGGGCCGCAGGGAGTCACCCTGGCCAGAGACTCAGGCCTTGGCAGTGTGAAGGAGAATCATGTCCCCTCCTCCAGCTGGGAGACACAGTTCAGGAGGCCCAGCCCCTCAGGGTCCCAGTGTCCACTCTGCAGTGACAGTGAGGGGAATACTCTTTGGAGACTTGGTGCACAGGGGATTCAATAAATGCTGATGCCATCTGAATGACTCCCAGAACCCCCAACCCTTCCCTCTCGCATCAGATGAATGGGAGACACAGAACGATCTGAGCCCTCCTTCTTCCCACTCTGCACTGTGCCCCCCAAAACAAGCAACATAACCTGCCTTCCTCTGTTCACCTGTGGTGCCTGGAATACAGCAGGTGCCAAGTAAGTGCTGCTGTGGTGTGACTGTTGCTAAGCAACGTACTGGGTTAAAAAGCCTGTGCCTGGCATGCAGTTGGCACTAACTGTTACTAGGGGTTATTGCTCCACCAACAGTTGGGTTAAACATTTGGCGCCTGTTACACAGGAGGCGCCAAATAAGTGCTGCCGTGGTCAGGATGGCTTCTAAGCCAGCAGCTGGGTGAAGCCTCCTCAGTGCACCTTTCCAAAGCAGGTCTGCGTCTGAGTGGCCTGACCCAGGCCTTGGGCTGGTGATGGCTCTGTGGTGGCCTACCCTGCCCCCAAGCACTTGGCTGGTCTTTTTCTCCTGCCCAGCCCTGCCCACCATCTCCTTAAGTTTGGCCAGACCAGGAGGGCATCAACATCCTTTGTAAAGTAGGGCTCATGGGGGTTAACTTGGGCAGGAGATGGTCTGTGTCTTCCGGATCCAGATGCTGGGGTTCTGTAGAGGGACACATGAGCAGGTGAGGGGACAGCCCCATGGAGGACATGGTGGTGACCCAGGACCAGGCCTAGTGAGGGAGTCAAGGAGAGGAGGCAGGTTCCGGCCATGTGATGTTCAGAGGGACCTAGGTTTGAGTCCCAGCTTGGTTTCTTCCTGGCCTCAGTCTCCTCTCTTGTAGTCAGTGGGTGCAAAGGAGGTTCCCTCAGTAGAGTCTGGAGCTCAGGGAAAGCTTGGCTTCTAAAGGCACAACCTTGCTCCGTCTTTCTCCCTCACCCCTATCCCCGCTGGCTCATGCCACTCCTATTGTCATCTTGGGGGAACTCAGGAGGTCCAAGACTTTGTCCTCTGGTTCGCTGCTATGGATTCAGTTTACCTACATGCCTCTTCATGTAGCCGACGGGGCCCTACATGACCTGTCCCTGTTCCCTCCCTGGCCTTGTCCTCTCTCCCTTCTCTACTCTCAGCTGCAGCCAACTTTCTCCAACACAGCAGG